CTGAAATATGCATCAGAAAAGCTTGGTGAATTAATAACTGCTGGTTCTGAAATATGCATCAGAAAAGCTTGGTGAATTAATAACTGCTGGTTCTGCAATATGCATCAGAACCCAGACCAGGGCCATGGTGAAGGAAAGGTGGTTGGACTGGGAGCGATTTGCTCCACATCTTCTGGTGCAACCAAGAGAGAGGGGCTGGGCTCAGGGTTGGAGGACGGGAACCGGCCTGATCCAGGGTGCAGAAGCACTAATGCACGTTGGCAGGGGCAGCCTTTTCCCCACCGCCCACGGTCCTAGGGCGGGCACTCTGCCGAGCGCTGTGGCTGGTGCAATCTCCCGCGCTCCTTGCATTGATCAGAAAAGAGAGTTGAAACAGTAAACGAGAGGAGGAGCAACTGCTCCTGGGCATTGGCGGTTGAGCACGACCAATGGGGATGCGAGCCCCGTAGCGCGAACCAATTAGCGCAGGGCCTGCGACAGCGCGGGCCAATGGTGGCGCCGGCTGGGCGCTGGAAGAAGGCAGATGGTCTGCGCCGGCAGCCGACTCGCGCCGCGCACGGCTCTCTCCGTTGTCCCCGTCGCCTGCGCTGCTGCACCATGAGCGCCTCGAGGCAGGTGGTGAACTTCGGGCCCGGGCCTGCCAAGTTGCCGCGCTCGGTAAGTCCCCACGAGCGCGCGCCGGGAGTGCGGTCTTAGCGGGAGCCCGCGCGCGGGTGGCTGTGCATCTCTGCGCCGGGCGCTGGGATCCCCTCTCCCTGCCCGGGAGCCCTCCGAACGCTCCGCACCAGCGTGCACGCCCAGTTCGGGATCCTTCGCTAGTGGGCTTCTGGAAGAATGCACTTGGGGGGAAGGAAGCTCGCCAACATGCTTGTGCAGCTGCCCCTGGCGCCGACTGCCCGTGAGAGGCTTGCACGACTTGGCTCGCCGGCGCAGCGCACCTGCAGACTCTGTGCCTGGGCTGGGCCCGGGGCGCGGCGAAGAGCTCTCATCTCTGGGTTCGCCTTGCCGGGCATTGCCGCGAGCCAGGCGGTGTTGAGTGGATCCGTGAATGGACATTGAATGAATGGTGAATGGGGTTCTCGTTAAACTGGAGGGGATTGCAAACTGGAGTCCCGCGCCTGAACCCTCCGAAGGAGTGTTTGTTTTAGCCAGCACTTGGGAACATTGCTTTTCAGAAATGTAAATTTGAAGGCCTTCAGTCCTGGCTTTCCTTCCTTGTTTCCCAAGAGAACCTTCCCTTCCCCCGCTTTTTTCAGCTCGGTTTCACGCGTAATTTTTTTTTTTTTTTTTTTTTTTTGTAATTTTAACTGGCTTGACTCCTAAAGGCATGCGAGTATTCAAATTCTGGTAGGCAGTGGGCTGCCAGCCCAGTTCGCTTCACTTTGTTTTGGAGGAAATGGAATGATTGAATTCTCCCTGGGGCCACAACCAGACTTTTCAAGTGCAAGTGGAACTCACTCTCTGCCTTCCTAGGCCCCAAGCCAGGTTTCAGCTCCTGCCCCCAACGTTCATTCTCCTTCCCACATCATCTCAACCCACGCTCCGCAACTGTGAAGAAGGCAGTTTGCGATGTGCCTTGATTGACAAGCTGCTATCACTGCTGTTATATTTTTATTTTTCTAACCACAATGACTCTGATACTATGTTGTAGCAACATGGGGCCTAGCCAAGTGCTTTACAATTATCTATTGTTGAACAGAGTAGAAATCTCCCTGGGATAAAGCCTCCTCTGTGTTGTAAGAACAAGTGAATCTTATAATTTTAGAAGGGAAAGGACTTCGTGCTTCCCTAGGGGCAGGGCTTATAGTAGCTGAAAGAACAAGGCTTGGTTTTCCCCACTTATTGCAGTCTGTTTTAGGCAAGATTCCTTCCCTGCTTAGAGCTGTGCAAACGTTTCTTGTACCCTCCTCACCTCTGTCCCGCCTCCGTGGTTTGGAGCCTTCTAAGTATTTGTTCCCTGTGCAATTTCTTTTTCTTTCTTTCTATATTTCCTTTTTTTTCCTTTTTTAAATACTCTCTCCCCTGTGGGGCTGGAACTCAGGACGCGGAGATCAACAATCTCAGCTGAGCCAGCCACGTGCCCCTCCCAGTGCAATTTCTTATGCATTTATTATAATGGCAGTTATCATTAGTAATACAATTATTTGTTATTTTCTTGGGAGGATTTCTGTCCTCAGACCCCCTCTCTGAGGGGGGATAGGGGTGGGGGGAAGTGGCAGATGTTGCTTTTTATGAATTTCGATTTGATTTTATTGTAAGGATTAGAGAAGCTTTTTAAACTTTATTGTTGACTGTGACCACAATGAAAAATATATTTTACAAAATGACAAAGTATATGCATATAATTATAATTAAAGCCTTGTGAAGTATTTAGTCTAAATAACTATGACATACATACTTTTGTACTCTATTCCACGCTAGTCTGTTCTGTTTCATTTAAAAAAATGTGTTGTGACCCACAAGAGTGATTGCATTCTGCAGTTTGAAAAAAACTCCACTGGAGTAGAGGGGCATGCGTTTTGAGTAGAAGTCTTTAAATCTCTTTGTAATGATTTGGATCATAAACGCATTTCAGGGGATACTGTCTGTAAGAGAAATCCCATCTTAAACGGGAGTTCAAAGATGATTTTATTATGTTTGTGTTCACTAAAGAAAGGATTCATTAAGTGTGTTCTTAATCAGCCAGTGCTAATAATCATCCCATAGTTTGCAAAACCAGTGACCAATACTTTTTTTGTAAAATGCTAGCTTTTATTTATTTATTTTTTTAAGTAATCTCTACCCGGCTTAAACTCACTACCCCAAGATCAAGAGTCACATGCTCCACGGACTGAGCCATCCGGGCGCCCCAACAAGACAAATTCTTAACCCCCACCCCTTGCCAGGGAAATCTTTTGTCTAATTCTTTATTGTTAAAATGTGTTTTTTTTTCCCTCTGCCTGCAGCTCCCCCTGCTTGTACCCTTGCTCACTCTCTCGCCCATGCTCTCTCTCTCTAACAAATAAAATCTTAAAAAAAAAAAAAGATTTTATTTATCCATTCATGAGAGACAGAGAGAGAGAGAGAGAAGCAGAGGGAGAAGCAGGCTCCCCGTTGAGCAGGGAGCCCGATGCGGGACTCGATCCCAGGACCCTGGGACCATGACCTGAGCCGAAGGCAGACGCTTAGCCGACTGAGCCATCCAGGCGCCCCCGGAGTATTTTAAAGCCAATCCCAGATACCATGTCACTTCACAAAAACACTTTAGCATTCGTCTCTGATAGGACTTTCTATCTTCCTTCTTAAAAAAAACAAAGGTTTGGTGGGTTTTTTTATTGTAATTTTTATATCTAAGTAAATTCATGCCTTTGGGAAAACTGTATTTTCACATCAATCGCATTATATAATTTCACACTTAAATTGTGTGTGTAAGTTGCATCAGTAGGGCTCTGTAGTCTGGGTGGGAGGAAGGAGATTGGCCACGGTACAGAAGCTTCCAGACCTCACAGGCTCTGGGTGGCCCCCCTCGCTGGTCCGATGTCCAGAGGGAGAGCTCTGTGCCGAATATTCAAATCATTTTATTGTCTTTTATTTCTTCTAGGTATTGTTAGAGATACAGAAAGAACTATTAGACTACAAAGGAATTGGAATTAGTGTTCTTGGTAAGATTTACTTTTTGACTCTGAATATCCAGGTTCCAAAGGGAACTGATGAAAATGCATCAAGCCCCAGATTTTGCGCCTCGGTCTCCCTTTAGGCCTTTGTAGATATATTTTTAAATTTTAGTAACTTTGGTGGCATGTTTGATAGAAGCAGTTTTTTTCTAAAGATTTTATTTATTTATTTGAGAGAGAGAGCATGAGGGTAGGGCAACAGCAGAGGGAGAGAGAGAGAGAGAGAGAGACACGCAGGCTTTCCGCTGAGCAGGGGGCCTGCCACGGGGCTCGATTGGCATCTGAGATCAGAAGATGCCAAACAGGTGCATCACAGGGCTCCAAACCTCTGCAGTCTTGCCTCCCATTCGTTTCAAAGCTTTTACGGAACTTAAAAATGAACTGAGTAAAAGTTTAAAAGTCTATAAGCCTTTGCTCAAGATCTTGCACCTTAATAATTTCATTAAGTTTCTCCTTTATCGTTGAGGAGGGGTCCCTTTGAATTTTTAAAATTTACTTTTTAAATTTTAATTTCCTTTTTCTTTGTTTGGTAATTCCCAAGGCCGAGGCCGCATAGTATGAAGGGATCATAAGGTTAACTGTGTGCTCACTGCTCTTCAATTTTGTTCCTGTGGGTTTGGGGACTAAACTTGGGTTTCTGCGCAGTGAGAGCTGCAGAGTGGAATTTTGTGCTGGTGTTTCTACGGGGCAGTCTTTGCACCATGGGTTCATGTTCGTGATAAGGATGTGAAAAATCACAGAGATGGAAGGATGAATTAGTAAATGGCTCATTCAATGAGTATGCCACTTGAAAAATCATTCTGCTGTGACCATAAGGCTAAAATGTGTGCAATTTGAAAATCGGTTTGGATTTTTCCCCTAAACGAAGTCAGCCTTGGCCCACAATTTGAGTGCAGAATAACTAAAATTTCCCTTTATTATTTTATTTGCAAATTGTGTAGCTAATTCTAAAGTTACTTCTGTGTGTTTGGTTTTAAATGGGAACTTTTTTTTTCTTATTTATCCTTCCTTCCACAGAAATGAGCCACAGGTCATCAGATTTTGCCAAGATTATTAACAACACAGAGAATCTTGTGCGGGAATTGTTGTAAGTTAAAAATTTTAAAGACCGAAGTCATTACTCTTGTTTGATAAACTACATGTGTGGGTGTCTGTTACGGTATTTACTCTGTTGTGTGTTAAGAATATTTCATAATTAAAGATAATCTTTTAGGGCACCCAGGTGGCTCAGTTGGTTGAGTGACTGCCTTCGGCTCTGGTCATGATCCCGGGGTCCTGGGATCGAGCCCTTCATTGGGCTTCCTGCTCATCAGGGAGCCTGCTTCTCCCTCTCCCTCTGCCTGTCACTCCCCCTGTTTGTTCTCTCTCTCTCTCTCTGTAAAATAAATAAATAAATAAATAAAATCTTTAAAAAAAGTAAAAATAATCTTTTGAAGATTTCTCCCAAATTCACTCCATTAGTACATAATGGTTTTTACTTGTTTCCCATCCTGCTTTTGTGTTTTATTTTTATTTATTTATTTATTTATTTTTTATTAAAGATTTTATTTATTTATTTGACAGAGGAGACACAGCTAGAGAGGGAACACAAGCAGGGGGAGTGGGAGACGGAGAAGCAGACTCCCCACGGAGCAGGGAGCCCGATGTGGGGCTCGATCCCAGGACCCTGGGATCATGACCTGAGGCGAAGGCAGGCGCTTAACCGACTGAGCCACCCAGGCGCCCCTTTATTCATTTATTTTTTTAGAGAGGGAGAGGGAGATCCTAAGCAGGCTCCATGCCCAGTGCGGAGCCCTAGTTGGGGCTCAATCTCACAACCCTGAGGTCATGACCTGAGTGGAAATCAAGAGTCAGACGCTTAACTGACTGAGCCACCCAGGCGCCCCTGTGTGTTTTTATTTTATGTGGTGTTTCCAAAGATTTGAAATCATTATATCTAGGAAAGATTTTTCAGGCTTAAAAGGGATTTAAATAACAAAGAAATGGTCATCTTGGTCAGTGCACTGGTTCTTAAAGCAATGCCTCCTACCACCTGTCAGAATCACCTAGCTGGGGGCAGGTATTAAAAAAATTCAGGTGCAGGGCCCTAACAAGCTCAGCTGAATCAGAATCTCTGCAGAAACTTCATCTTTAACAGACTTTTTGGGTAATTTTAAGAGTTCTTCACTTCAGGAACTTCTCAAATGATCCTTCCTAGCTTATCTGCCCTACTCTCCTCACCCAGAGGAAACCTTACTCTTCAATAGATTGCTCTTTAAAGGAGAGATTTATATATTGTCTAAGTATATTCACCTAAACGTTACGAATATGGTAATCTTGAAAAAAAAAAACCCATGTTTTCTGCTCATAAAACTAGTGCATATTCATGGTAGAAAGTTTAGGAAAAACTGAATGTCACAAATTAACCTGGAACTATCCATAACCCCACCAGTCAGAAGTAATCATTGTTAACATTTTAAGGGTCCAAGTTTGCATGATTTCACTAACATGATTGGAATTGTACCAACTATTACTTTCCTTTTAAACTGTCTTGATAAAATGCTTCAAAGGGGGCAGGCTGGCGCCATTTTTGTGAGGAGCACTAGAACCCATTGCATTGTGAGTGGCCAGAACCAGTCATCATTTGCTTGGCTGCGCACACGGGGTCTGCCTGTTGGGTCCCATGTGTTCACTGCACAAGCCTATCCTTCATGGAACAGGTATTTGGAACCTCGGCCCAGAAGACGTGGCATTTGACCTGCATGGCTGCAAGCCTCTTGGGACTGGACTCCCAGTTCAATTTCTGGGCCTATCCTTTATTTTCCTAACCAAGTTCCTACCTTGTACTCCTGTACCTGGGCCTCTGTCTTGTGTCCTTCCATCCAGGTGTTGGCCTTCTTTTTTTTAAAGCTTTTTTTTTTTTAAATTTATTTATTTATTTGAGAGAGAAAGAATGAGAGAAAGTACATGAGAGGGGGGAGGGTCAGAGGGAGAAGCAGGCTCCTTTGCTGAGCAGGGAGCCTGATGTGGGACTCGATCCGGGAAACTCCGGGATCATGACCTGAGCCGAAGGCAGTCGCTTAACCAACTGAGCCACCCAGGCGCCCCCAGGGGTTGGCCTTCTTATCTATCTGGCATGTGAATAACATAAACCTGGAACCCTGCCTTGGGCTGCCAGTCCTCCCAGCTGCCGAGACCTCATGTTTAGAGCCCCTTAACAAGAGTTGCCTGCAAGCCCTGCATGATCATAGGCAGATAGGGTTCACACCACCCATTCCCCAGGACTCTCTCACGTTGCCCTGCCCTTTGGTACTTAACAGCTCCATGCTGGATCTCTGTCCCCAGCCGTCTGCCTTCTGTGTACCTGTTCCCAAGCTCTGAGCTTCCTCAAAGGCTGGGGTCCAGTTTCCATGGCCTAGTCCCTCTGGAGCTGGCCTTCTCCTACTGCCTGTAGCCATTTCAGCAAACATCTTAATTTTCTACGCTGGAGTCAAAAAGTTTTCACTGTTAATCTCGATGTCTATTGGTATGTGATTACGTGTTTAGGCCTAACGCTTTATCTAAGATCCTTTACAAGTGTCCGCTTAGTTCATAGCATGGAGCAGCACATGTCTATTTTTAGGATTTCTGGTTGCAAGTGACGGAAGCCCAACTCTTGGCAGAAGAGAAAACAAATTACCTCGTGTAATTGTAAAGTGCAGAAGGGATTTAGGAGCTCAGGTGATGTCCAGGAAGGTCTTTTCCTCCATCTCCTGGCTTTGCTTTTTGATGTATTGGCTTCACCAGATGGCCACCGGTGGTTGTAGGATTAGCTGGTTTATTCTTTCCCTCAGTAGAAACCGTTCCTCTTCCAGGAGTTTGAGCAAAGTTCTCAGAACCAGACTCCCCTGGCCAGTTTGGGTCATGTGCTCATGCTGGAGTCAGGGTTGGCCACCCTTGAACCGTGTAGACTGAGTGGTAGCAAGATGATTTCCTACAGGAACAGCAGGGTGTTATTAGCTTCCCTCCAAACAGTACCCATAGGCTTCCACACAGAGCCCAAGGAAGGGCTGTGGGGAAGGTGAAGCGGGGGTGGGACTTTACTTTTTTTCTTATAGTGTATCCACCCAAGGTAAAGTGCTGGTAGATCATTGCTCATTCTCTTTCTTTGACCCTGTATGTCTCTGTTTACTGTCTCCCGCGCTTCTGCGCAGAGCCGTTCCAGACAACTACAAGGTGATTTTTGTGCAAGGAGGTGGGTCGGGCCAGTTCAGTGCTGTCCCCTTAAACCTGATTGGCTGGAAAGCAGGAAGGTGTGCCGACTATGTGGTGACAGGATCTTGGTCAGCTAAGGCTGCGGAAGAAGCCAAGAAGTTTGGGACTGTGAATATCGTCCACCCCAAACTTGGGAGTTACACGAGTAAGTGCTGGGATCTGAGTTCCACAATGACAATGAAATGTGGACAAATGCTGCCGGGTGGGTGGTCCCTCTTCAGATATCAGGTTACCCCTGCCCCGGGCAACCTGCAGTTTTTAATTCCTTCTTGTTGGTAGCTGATTTGATACCATTTAGAGTGGGTGGTCTTACTTGTTAAGATTACTAACTGGCTGCTGCAGAAAGAATATTCATAGGTGTACTCAGCTGAAAAGCCTCCGGGCCGGGTTGGCTTTAGGTATGGCTTGATCAAGGGCCCCCCAACAATGTCTGCAGGTCCTGGTGTCTCTCCAGGTCTCCTCTATGATGGCTCCACAGTCAGGAAAGCTGTCCCTTCCCTTTTAGAAGATGCTCCTGACCTTATTATATTCTCCCAAGTTTCAACGCCTTTGCTCAAGCATTCCCAATCACAGCCTCACATCTCCTGTGTCCCATTCCCAATCAGTCATGTGGCTGCAGGTGGAATTGACTACACCGGAACTACATGGGCTGAGCTGGGGAGGCTGGGGCCCCAAGAAGGAACTCAGGGGACATGGGATGCATGGGTACTGGGTAATAGGAAAAATACCAAATATCCACCATACCATTAGTTGCCCCCAGTAACCGTCAAAAGGACAGGTTGGATCATCCTTTTAGGTTGTTGATGGGGATTATAATGCAAGATGGATAGGGTGGTGTCACTTGGGAGGACTTTGGAATCAGCCTCTCACGGCTAGGGGAGGGCTATCATTCCTGGTCATTCCCATCTACACAAGGAAAGAGGAATGAAAGCGCAGACTCTCCACCTTTTCTTCTGTGATAGAAATTCCAGATCCAAGCACCTGGAACCTCAGCCCGGACGCTTCCTATGTGTATTACTGCGCCAACGAGACCGTGCACGGAGTGGAGTTTGACTTCATCCCTGACGTCAAGGGAGCCGTGCTGGTTTGCGACATGTCCTCAAACTTCCTATCCAAGCCGGTGGATGTTTCCAAGGTAGAGCGCAAAAGGGCCTGGTGAGGGAACCCCAGTGTCTTGGATTTTGTAAGGGCATTTTAAGAAGTACGAGAACAAGGAAAGGCCCAGAATGTCTTGGGCCAGCAGAAACCCTGAAGCCAAGACAATTCACAATGCCCAGGCTTGTTTATTGTGGGTTGTTGGAGCGTGTAAGTCTTGATGTGTTCCACCTTGTGTTAATGATTGCCTCACGGAGTTACACTGGAGTCCTTGGGGAATTCATCTGCCTTTGAGGGTGCCTCTTAGGAAATGTTTTGGCCAATACATTGGGAGTACTTGCTACTTCCGGTGAGGATGCAGTTGACCCAAGCTCGGGGGATCTCTGAAGGAGCTCCACCCTACCTCGAGCCCACCTCAACTCCAAGAGCATCAACAGGACACGGAGACTTTCTAGGTGGGCTGCCAAGGCGGGCAGGGGAGCAGTGCACTCAGGTGCATGCAGCAAGGGGGCATAATATCTGTAAAGCATTTAGAAACAAATGCACTAAATGGTAGCCTGCCTTTTTTTTTTTTTAAGATTATTTATTTATTTGAGAGAGAGAATGAGATAGAGAGAGAGAGCATGAGAAGGGAGAGGGTCAGAGGGAGAAGCAGACTCCCTGCCGAGCAGGGAGCCCGATGCGGGACTCGATCCTGGGACTCCAGGATCATGACCTGAGCCGAAGGCAGTCGCTTAACCAACTAAGCCACCCAGGCACCCTAGCCTGCCTTTTTAAAAAAAAAATTATGGTAAAATATATATAGCATAAAACTTATCAGTTTAGCCATTTTTGAGTGTACACTTCAGGGGGATTAAGTACATTAACACTGTCAGGCAAACATCACCACCATCCTCCTCCAGAACTTTTTATCTTCCCAGACTGGGACTCTGCCCGTGAAACAGTAAGTCCTCACCCCTCCCCCAGACCCTGGGAGCCTCCATTCTCTGCATTGGACTACTCCAGCTATCTCATATAAGGGGACTAATGCAGTATTTGTCTTCTTGTGTCAAGTTCATTCCACTTAAGAGTAATGCGCTCAGGGATCATCCATGCGATGGCAGGTGTCAGACTTCATTCCTTTTTAAGGCTGAATAATATTCCATTGGGTGGTTCTACCACATTCTGTTTATAGCCTGCTTTTTATTACCAGTTGCCATGCATTGGCAATTCTCGACAGTGCCAACTGTGAAATACTCCCTAGCAGGCCAGACTGTCTTTCCTCCTCGCACTTGGGATGCAATTCGCTATTTAGAAAGGGTTCATGGGAGGAGATGGGAGAGGGCTGTGCGTCTTATATGACAACATTTCCTGAAGTTCCTTTAATCTAAAGGAATTTTAGCTTAATTTCTGTTTGTTAAAATTTCTTCTCAGCTTGTCTATTATTTCTCGGCATCTTCTGACTGCCCTTTATATAAACATGAATGCATTAAAAACTGTTTCTTTTGGTTACCAAGAACAGTTAGCAGCCTCATTTTATTTTATTTTTATTTTTTTTAAGATTTTATTTATTTATTTGAGTGAGAGAGAGCGCATGCACAAGCAGGGGCAGAGGCAGAGGAAGAAGCAGGCTCCCCGCTGAGCAGGGAGCCCCATGCGGACTCAGTCCCAGGACCCTGAGATCATGACCTGAGCTGAAGGCAGACGCTTAACTGACTGAGCCACCCAGGCACCCCAGCAGCCTCATTTTAAAAACTGGTTTGGGTGTAGAAAGGAGGTATACAGAGCGAAGATGAATACGTATAAGATCTTTATAGTGATGCTTGGACTAGCCCTCTGCTGGTGAGAAGGACCAGGCGCATACATAACCTGCAGGCCTTGGACCTCAGGAGGATTGATTTGCTGTCCCAGATGGAAGTGCCGTTAGAGAATGGGATGCACTTTGAGCAGCATTGAAATAGAATCAGCTCCTCATACTTTGGAAAGAGATGGTGAAATTGGACTACATGTATGAAAAATGACCACATGTATCTACAACAGCATGTCTTCTCTTTCTCAGTTTGGTGTGATTTTTGCTGGTGCGCAGAAGAACGTGGGCTCTGCTGGGGTCACGGTAGTGATCATCCGCGATGACCTGCTGGGGTTCGCGCTCCAAGAGTGCCCCTCGATCCTGGAATACAAAGTACAGGCTGGAAACAGCTCATTGTACAACACGCCTCCATGCTTCAGGTGAACTCCGGGCAGCAGGGCTTGGGGGACTGACGGAGGGGGTCTCACCGTTTACCATCAAAGCAGAGGGGGGTAGCTTTTTAACGCAGAGCGTGTTTTCATGAACAGTGACCTCATAGCTCAGACATCCTATCAGGATTCTCTGCCCAGCTCGTCTCTCCCTGTTAACCTTCTGTGCACTGTTAGATCAGTTTCTCTTGCCCTTTCTTTTTGGGGGTGGTGTTTTTGTTTGATATCGTTAGCCTTAGTGGTTCACCATTAACCCAAAAGCTCTCTGCAAATGAAGTGGCAGGCTTGTATCTCAAACAACCTGTGAAGCTTTGGAAAAGAACTTTGAAAGGCCAGGCCTTACTGGCTGTGTGACCTTGGGCAAGTCACTTAACCTCTCTGTGCAGCAAATTCCTCCAGGAGTAATAATACCCTGCCAACTGGTTTGCCGTGAGGAGATATATAGATGAAGCCCACTTCGTGGTTGACACTTGGTGATTTATAAATGTTAGCTGCTGTATTATTATTGTTGTTTCTCTTGGTGTTAGTTCCCAGAGCCCTAGCAGGGGAGGGAAGAGTCGGAGTTTATGGATTTCTCTTTCAGGGCAGGTATGGTGTAGAATGGTGATACTTTATGTGTATGACCCTTTTAATCCTCCCCAGCAGCCTAGGAGGTAGATATTCTTCATTCCCATTTTGCAAGCAAAGAACCAGAGGCCATACTTCTAGGACGTGGCATAGCTGGGATTTGAACCCAGGTAGCCTGGCTCCAGAGCTGGGGCATGCACACCTTGTACCTTCGTGCTCGTATTATCAGTATGCATTTATTTGTGCCTGAAGGATTCCGTCTTGGGAGAATAAGTCACCGTTAGAGTCTAGCTCTTCCACTCATGGATTTTTCTGTGGCGGGCGGAAGGGTGGGCTTGGGCTGGGGCAGGCAGCTGTTCCTTCGGGGTTTGGACTTTGTCAGAGCTCTCCGCCACGGGGCTGCCTGTAGAAAAATCTCCCACCTACTTTGCTATAGGAAAGAAAGGTGTTGTTTTTCAAAGTTAGAATTCCAATGGAATTCTAAATGGGGGCCATAGCAGCTCATTTGTGTCCTCCTGCTTTCCTCAGGGAATGGGGTGTTCTGGTGCTTATTCTCCTGGTCACCTATAAAGCCCACTCTGTTTCATCCTGGTGGAAAGGGTTTTTGTTAAGGGTGGGGGCCATGGGACTGGATCTCTCACCCACCTGTCCTATCTCTGGGGTTCCAGGCAGTAAAACAACCAGTGGTCACTGGCCAAGTTGGACACGAGACCTGGGTGTGCTAAGCAGTGAAGCCACAGGTGCAGGGACCCTGGGGAAGGGGCTCAGGTGCCAGGCTGCGCAGTGACAGGAGGTGTTTGTCACCCCTCCCCCCCCCCGGGGCCAGGGCCTAGCTCACAGTCAGGTGAGTCTTTCAGGGTGAGGCAGAGGCCACCATGGGCTCCAGGAGGAGGCAGGGAGAACATAGTCCCTGAAATGTGGCTTGAAAGCTGGCAAGTTCAGATCAGAGCACCGCCCAGAGGAGCCAGGAGAGGGCACACCTTCTGGCACCTTCTGTGGTAACTAAGAGTTGCAAAAGGCAATGAATGTGTTAAAATGCCGTTTGTTAATATTAGGGTGAAAAGTCAGTGAGAAAGCAGGTCAGTCTGTCTAATAAACATGACAAAATGACAAGAGATAATAATGTCTGGAGTCAGACCTAGACACACGGAGAGGAAGGGCTCCTTTCAGTGACTCTCGTGTAGGGGCACTGCCCCTCGCAGGCATCAGCCCCAGGCCTTGACCAGTCGGGTCAGCTGGTCACTTGGGGGAGGGTGGTGTGGTGGGGGGTGGGGAAGGGCAGATATTGCCTCCCCAGAGCTTTCCTGCCTGCTGGGGTGGGGTGGGGCGCTGGTGAGCCAGAATCAAGGGCAGAAAAGGGGCACACCTTTTCCCCCAGGCAGATCAGAATAGTGTTAACTGAGACCATCCCAGGGCAGGATTGTGAATATTGAGTCGAATGGTATAAATATAGCAGATAAAAGAGCCTGGGTTAAATGTGTTCTGACCACGACACCCCCTGGAAATTGCTTTGCTTTCTTTTACCCTGAAAGAAAAGTACAAGTGTGTACAATGGAGCAATTACCCTAAATCTATGATTTGAAAAACTTCAGAGTTCATTCGTGGTACTTAAATAGTCAAGATTAGCAAATTACAGCTTGCCCAGTGAGAATAAGCTCCAAGTTAGAGAGGGGAAGATTTGTGCCAAATCCCCTCCCTAGTCCTTGAAGGTAAGCCGACAAGGCACCACCCAGAAGGCTTCTGAACTTTTGTATCACACAGAAGTCCTTGAAAAGGCCCCACATTTGAAAAGAAGCCTTTATGTATTTATTTATCTTTTAAAATCAGAGCTGAATGACCACAGGCTCTGGGCATTTTGTGTGAACTGGGCTGGGTAACTGGCCTTCACATAGTCGCCTGTAGCCCTGAGCAGTGAATTGGGGTGGAATAAAGGATCACGTGGTTATTCTGTTTTCACCTTTTAGTAGATCACACTGGACCCAACGAATGAACAGGCAAAAAGATGCCTAAGCTTCCCTTCTGTCCCCACAAAACAGTTTTTATTTACCTCAACTAACGGAACCTGTGAGTATAAATTTGTTTTTGCTGTAGTATGAGGTGAAGTAACTAAGAAGAAACAAAATAACCTCATCCATCAAGGCCACCTTTCTCAGCAGAGTAGGATTGTGGGCCTGCCCAGGGCCTTAGACTCACTCACCATGAACCCCAGAGGCAGATGTACTTCTGCAGTTAGAATCTACAGAACAAACAGCCAGGGAGAGTTTTTCCAAGGACTTTCTAGTGTGTTTTTCTTTCTTTCTTTCTTTCTTTCTTTTTTTAGGATTTATTTATTTATTTATTTGAGAGGGTGTGCACTTTTGCGGAAGTGTGTGAGTGGGGGCGGGGCAGAGGCAGAGG